CTCTCTCTCTCTCTCTCTCTCTCTCTCTCTCTCTCTCTCTCTCTCACACACACACACACACAGAGGACATTCTAAGCTGGTTTCTGAAGGCCTTCTTTTCATTCCACATGTCTGAAGTTTTCCCACCATTTCTTTCCGAGCTGTCAGTGCTCCTGCACAGGGAGCTGAGTGACAGATACACAACAGGGGCATAATAAAAAAAGTTAGGAGTTTCATAAAACTCCTCAGTAAAACTACTACTAAGCTTTGGGGATCAGTACAATGATACACAGTGACATTGCCTTTAAGGTGCTCTGAAGTGTCAAAACCACCCAGGGAAGCGGGGGAGCTTTTGAATGAATATCTGCAATTCTGATCGAATACTTGGATGACCTTGGTTTGTAGAAATAAGGGCACTTATTAAGTTCTTATTTATTTAGAGCAAACCCCCTAATTCCCACAATTCGACTTGGTGCGATTCTGTTCAGGATGTTACTGTGTAACTTTAAACCGGGCAATAAAGCTCCCTCTTAATCATAATTAGTCACATGAGACACTCAAACATTGGATTTATGTGCGTCACCTGTCATTACGTTCATAATGCTACAGGATAAACGTGCAGTTGTGTTCATACGATTAAATTGAATGCGTCCCTCAAAATCATTTTGTTCAGGGACAAACTGTTAAATGCAGACTTATTGCAGACTAGATGTGACTGATATGAGTTTGTGCAATAAAGCGAGAGACTTTGGTTTTATTTGCGCCTGTAAAGCAGCGGAGTGTTACCTGTTTTTCCACAGCTGCCAAAGCGGCCCAGGCATTCTTTATGGGCACCTAAACCACACTTGGAGCACAGGTAGCCCTGGTTAAAGATGCCCCTGCAGACAGACGAACAGGGAAAGGCATCACATGGATTGCTTAAAGGTATAGAAACAGTAGTAACGGCATATCAGTGCAAAGAATGGCAACATTGCTGTGAGGCTTATAGGACAGTATGGATCCAAGTTGCAATCAAAAGGTTTAATGTTATGTAGAAATGGCTGCAACATTTTCTGACATCACAGGAGGAACAGAAGTTTGGAAACCGACAGTGAATTTCTCTTGTGTTTTTAGCCCCCTTAGCGGCGTGGCACTGACTGATATATCTCTACCATTATGCAAATTGAGCCATGATATTTGTACAGGATTCATGGTTCCAGGATGATGAATCCTAATGACTTTGGTGACCCCCTGACTTCCGTATTTACCATGAGGTGGACATTTGTGGTTTTGAGTGAAATGCCTCAACAACCATTGGAAGGATTGCCATCTGGATGAATTGTAATGACTTATGTGACCCCTTAACATTTGATCTAGCGCCATCATCAAGTCAAAAATAGCTGACCAAATGCCTGCAAAACTAACTAATGATATTTCAATCAGCCTCGGCTGTACTTTGTGTTTGGTGCTTCTCAGCTAATGTTAGCATGTTAAGATGCTAAAATGAGATGGTTAACACATCCCTGCTAAAACGCAGTATAGTTAAGTCCTTAAGGTCCTCGAGGCCCTGGGCGTTCAAATGAAGACGGTTCCACATTAGCCAGCTCAGCAGCACAAGGACGCCAGCCAGATTTCAATACTTTCTATCAAAGCCACAACAGGTGTGAAAGTTAATTCTAATAAGTTTAAATTTGAACTAAAGACCATAAAAACAGTTTCAGCTCACAAAAGAAGATACTGACATTCTTGTAGTAAATGATGTGTGTGTGCACACACACAGAGATTGAAGCAGCAGCAGTGTGTTGCTCTGTTTTTTATTAACCATCTCAGAGGTCCTAATTAAAATGACATGAAAGTAAAGGCAGCTTTGCTCTGCTCTCCAGCTAATTGTCTGTTTAACGTCTTTGAGAAAACTGGCATGGCATTAACGTGCAGGAACACTATAATATTTTTGCGCAGTTCAGAACTGCAGGGTGTGTATGTTGCACTGGTGGAAGAAGTCAGAGCAGTGAATTTAAACCATTAGGACACCGCTCTTATGAATCCTTCACAATTTGTATGAAATAACATGAAAGGAAGGTGAATTCCCTTTTAAATGAAAACTTAAAAGAAAACTTTTACCAGGCACGTTGCTCATTTTCTGATTAATGACACAATACCTCAGCAAGGCCTCTGCTCTTACATAGATTATCAGAAAAAAACGAGTATACTAGATCACAGATTTAATAATACACAGAATAACACTTGACTCATTAGACTTATGATTCATGAAGTAATTTGATATTTGGTGACGGCTAGATAAGGGGTTCAATTTATATTGTGTCTTTTCAAGTTGATCCGTTGTTCCTTTACAGGCAGTGCAAACAAAGAGCTCTAGCACAATAGTCATAATGAACCAGTCAAAGGGACCAATCATTATGTAAAAGGACACTTGAGAAATAATCACGAAATCAATGACACACGGCACTTCAGTTGCTTCTTGATGCTTTCCCTGCATTATTCTTGTTTTTCTCATATCTTATCCTGAGAAAATGTTCAGCGCCTGGCTCTGTATATTCACAGTGCGTTGCCTTCAAATAGTGCTGAAGTGTGACGGACACTTTTTTCTTGACTGTCCTCGGTCGGTGAAACCACTCAGTCGTTCCCGCTGTGAGAAAGACCATGAGCCGCAGTCCTCCGGGTGCCGATACCATTCAGCAAATTCAAAAGAAACTTTGTGTAGCTGAAGCACATGTGCAGAGGAAGAGAGGAGTAAAAGGAAAGTGACGAATAGATTGTTAGGCTACACAGGAGAGGAATAGGAGGAGGGGAGGTCTTTCAAAGCAGTCCTGACAGGTGTTTGAAGGGAAAGGGTCCATGTCTTGTCCTCATTCTTTATGTCTGACGATGGCCTTGAAGAGGGTTTTGTGCTGCTTCCGCTGCGTGTGTGTGTGTGTGTGTGTGTGTGTGTGTGTGTGTGTGTGTGTGTGTGTGAATAATAAACGGCCTCTTACCTCAGCAGCATGTGGCAAGAGTTGCAGGAGGTGATCCTTTCAAAGGTGTGCATTTTAAACTCGTGGAAGTTGTTGGTGGCGTTCTCAGGATGAATGTTGGATCTAAACGAGAGTAACACACAACAAACATTAGATAATGATAAGGTTACTTTGACTTCCAAAAGATGGTTGTAATATGATTATTACTATTACTATTATTATCATTAGTAGTAGTAGTAGTTAGAACACATTTTCGAAATAAACTATTAGACTGATTTCCTAAAAATCAACTGGCAGGAAGTTCAAGCTTGGTCGAGTAGTAAACGACAGTAAAGCACCTTTACCTTTACCTTGACTAAATGCTAATTCAGTTCAAGCAGGGACTAATTCTATGTTCAACAAATGGAATTGAAAATGTCAAAGATAACACAAAAAAGATAACTGGTTTCCATTGTTGTCTGATTTGAGAGTGAGCTGCCAAATCAAATCCAGTAGTGGGTAAACAGCAAACACAGATTTCAAAAGAGTTCTGCAAATATGCTTGTTTCTGGCATTCAAAATGCAGTGTCAGCTAAATTGTTGAGAGTGTGCTTGAAATGCACCACTGAGTTTTCAATAGGTCTCTGCTCCTGTACCTCCCTTAGCACATGTTGATATTATATACAGTAACTTGTGGTATGAAATAAAAGAATCATAACATGATGTCTCGATATTTAGGGTTCAGGTTGAATATTAAAGCTCCATATATCATATGTAACACTGACAATATTGAACTGTATGTACTGTTGTGTGCCCCTGAACACATCTGTTCCAAATAATGGAGGAGTAATGACTCAAAATCAGAACAAGCAGTTGGACCGAAACTGCATCACAAACACTGAGCGCTGTAAGTTGTACTACAAGTTACAGATGAGCCAAAATTAATGAATGAAAACGAATTTGTGCTGGTTGTCTGCCTTGTTATAGTTTTCAAAATGCTTTGGTCTTTGATGAAAACATGAATTTCAAAGCAAAAAATAAAGAAATAAAAGGTTCACTTATAATTGCAGCCAACAAACCCTTCGATACGACTCTTTGAAGTGGGAAGGAGAGAATTGCAAATAGACAGGCAAGGTCTGCTTGAAGTGAACACAGAAGTATTCTTGGCCCCTTGGGACATGGATGAATGTGTGTGTGTGTGTGTGTGTGTGTGTGTGTGTGTGTGTGTGTGTGT